CGCTTGCGCAGCATGCAGCCAGCACCCGAATACCCAATGAGGAGGCAGGCCCTTTCCTATATCGAAATGGCCTGCCTGCGTCCAGTCCCAGGAAGCTTCCAGTAGCCTGAGCCCCAGCACGTTCGAGAACAGGCCTTGGGCCTGAGGTGGTTGCATGCGCCCAACTGCCTTTGGCCTGTGTTCGGCCCAGTACTCATATCCAGCCCAGGGCCTGCTTTCCATACATTGACACAGGCGGCCCAGGGCCTGGGTTCTCTTCAACCAACTGGCGCTGCGCAACTGCCTGAATTTCCTTGGTTGCGCAGTGGCCGAAAATCGGGCCCTGAGGGCCTCGTCGAGCCTGCCTTCACTTAGGGCGGCCGACTGGCTTCAAAATGGGGGCTGAATGGGGCTCATCGAGGCATTGGCCTTGCACTCTCTCTCTCTCTCTCTCCCCGCCGTCTTTCATCACGTATCTACTAAGTTTCCATTGATTGTCATCTGTATGGGCTTCTGCCCAACATCCCTTTCTCTGAAACGGTTGACAGAACTTAATTCTTTTGTTTTCTTACTACTGTTTTAAATCCACCTTTGGTTGGTTTTCCTCACCCAGTTGACCTTACATTGCAGTCACAGAGTTTCGATCCCTAGACCTGTGCCACAACCCTGTACATCGATCCCGTGTGCTGAGTAGGATTCGATCCCTTGACCTGTTTCACATCCCAGATTAGTCTGTAGTTTGGGCAGTAGGACTTGATCCCTAGGTCTGTAGATTAGCAGCTAGGTCTGTTACTGATAGGCTTAGGAAGTCTGTTCTAGAAGTCTCTACGAAGTCTGTCGAGGACTGGAATCTGTCTGTAGGTCTGTATAGTCTAGAAGGTCGTAGGTCCCTGTAGGCCAGTCCAGTCAGCAAGTACCAGGGGTAAGGGCTGCACGTGGGGAAGGTTCTGGAGCATGCTGTGGGTTTCACACGTTTTGGCGCAGAAGGCCAAACGTCTGGAAACTTCCCTGGGCGACACGTTTTTGCCCAGGCCCACACGTTTGAGGCAGGCCCGGGTACCTCAAAGAGGTATAAATAAAGAGGCAGCGTCCAGCCATTCATTCATTCGCCTGTGAGCCATGCCGAAGAGCTATCTTGGTATCTTGTGCGTGGAGGTCTGCAGGTGCCCGGAGAAGAAGTGGGCTGTGAAGAAGACGGCGGCCATAGCGTACCAGCGAGGGAGACACCGGCGGCCATAGCTAGGAGGAAGAAGACGACAGCGGCCATAGCCGCCCAGCTGTTGGTGTAGACAAGTGTACAGAGTATGTGAGGCTGTGCTGAGTGGGGACATTCAGGGTGATCCTCGTACGTGCATACATGTGAGAGTGAGGGAGAGTGAGGCTGGTGGTAGAGACAGTGTTCGGCGGCCATAGCCGCAAGGTGTACATTTGTTCTGAACAGAGTTTAAGAGCAAGTTCATTGTTGTTTCTGAGTTGGAAGAGTTTGGTTTGCCATCGGTTCTCAAGTGTGCATGTTGTGAGCCAGTCCAGAGTTTAGTCTGATTGCATTGGTATCGGAGCTGGTACCCGTTGTCCACGCCGGCGGAGCTGCAGCAAGTGAAGAAGAAGGTAGAGACTGCCATAGCTGAAGCTCGGCAGAGAGAGAGAGAGAGAGAGAGAGAGAGAGAGAGAAGGGGGGACAGCAGCCATAGCTGTCAAGCTCGGGGCAAGAGACGATCAGCGAGAAGAAGAGAGACGCAGAGAAAAGGAAGAAAAAGGTGACCAAGAGGGAGACAAAGTCAGCCATAGCCAAGGTGGAAAAGACGAAGGTCTTGACGAAGAAGAAGAAGGTCCACCATAGCAGGATGGTTGGAAGGTTGACCAGGAGTTGACCAATGTTGACTGGGTGTTGACCAAGAATTGACGAAGGGTGTTGATCAGGCGTTGACCAAAGTTGACCAGGGCGTTGGCCAGGAGCGTTGACCGGCGAGTTGACCAAGATCGTTGACCGGAACGTCCACCCAGCTGGAGCGAGAAGATTACCGGTACGCCGGTTGTCCAGCCCCGTCCCGGGGCCCCCGGTGGGGGTCCCGGGGGCTGGGGGTCGGCACGATTCGCCCCGGCAAAAAAAAATTAAAAAAATAAAAAAATTACAGGGGGGTGCGTAGCCCGAGCCTGCACCCCCTGGGCCAAACTGCAATATTGCAGTTTTGGCCCGACCTCGGCCCCCCCCCGRGGCTACACCCCACCCTCGTGAGCCTGGGGTAGTGCGGGGGCGGGGCTGGGGGCGG